TTCGATAACTCATACCTAGCAGGTTTTCATTGAGAGATACAAGCACCGAACAGTTAAAAAAGAACAACAAAAGTTGAGATTTGTTCTTGTCTCTCTTTGTTACTTCATAATCTCATTTCTTATGAACTTCTTTTAGTAATCGTAAAAGATATAAAGTAACTACACAAATGATTCTATTTCTTCATGATTGTTGTTTATCATCGTAATAGAAACTCATTTCCAGTATCTCAAACTGAAGTACTATGTGAAAAATGTAATCATTGTTAAATATTAGCTTTTTATTTCCTCTCTCTTGATTTTCTCTTTTCATATCATTCAACAAACTAAAATATATCTGAAGTGAGACAAGTAATAGAATTTGAACAACCAAATTACTTTTAAAAGAAATATTTTCATTCCCTATTCTGATAAGAATCAAATATTTTACTGTGTATCTTTGTGTGGTATCGGTTGATCTTCCCTCTATTAAAGAAAGAAATATCTACCGAAATAGTTGGAAAATATTCTTTTGCGATTTTACAGGAAAACGAGACTTTTTTCCATTAATTCTACAAATAATTCAGTTTCTCACAAGTTTTCATATCATAATACTTTAGTTTACTCTTTTATTTCCAACAGTTAAGATAGGAACCTAATATATGAAGCTTACAAAAACTTTTTGACCTTTTCTATCCATCTACCACTGAAAGGGTAAGAATAAATTGAGCCAGCAAAATATGAAACATACACATAAATACTAGATTATTTCTAGTGATGAAAACGTTTCTTGTGACATTTATAAGCACTTTTGGTAAAGTTTTTTTTTACTTGATCTAAGAATATTTTGTGTATTAGCAGTTAACAATCACATACTCTCAGAAAAAAAATGTAACTAACTGTTCGATTTCTTTCTTTTTCATAACAGCTTTTGAGTTACCATGAAAACATACTTATTTGTGAAATTCTCTCTTTCTCTTTTAGAAAGTACTCTTTCGCAAGAACGAAACTATCATCTAATCAACTTTGTTCACAGTTAATTTAATACCACAATAAAATGCTAATGTTCAATTCATCTACGACAATTATTAGCTTTTTAATGCTTCTGATGATATTTGTAGATCGAATCATTGGTAAAAACTTCATTTTTTTTCTCATTCCGCAGTCATCTCATCAATATTTGTATTATCTGTGTTCGTTACATCCTAAGAATCATTAATGCTCAAGGACAAAATCGATTAATCACTAAGGATTAGGTTTTTGTTTTTATAGTGAGATGATATTCAACAGGTAGAGATATCAATCTAGCAACCTTTACGAGTAATCTCCCTTTATGTCTTGTCTTTAGTTAGAAAACAAATTTAAATACCTAGGGCAGTCAAAAAGTAATGACAATAGTACGTTATTTCCTTATAAAAAAACTTTAAAAATCTGTCTTTCTATGTAGTCTGATAGGGAAAGAGTGTTCTATTTTTTCTATGCTATTTGATTATATTTCAACTAAACTAATAATAATAAATTTTCGATAAGAGTTTCTTCATTACCACGTCTACTGGATGAAAACAAAGGAGACGGATTAGTTTCAGTCTCTTAATACATTGTATCAACAATAAAAATATAACATAAAGCGCACCGTGAAAAGTTCTACATTTTATTAGAGACCAATTATTTTCTAGATACAATGTTTTGAGGGACCGAACTTTGGGCATTTCGAAACTGCATTTTATGGTATATTTTAATTGTTGATACAATGTTTTAACGGACTGGAAATTGCAACGCAAACTTTCATCCAGTAGACATCGTAATAAAAAAAAGTCTTACTCGAAAATTTATTATCATTAGATTAGTCGAAGTATAATCAAATAGCATAGAACAATAGAACACTCTTTTCTCTATCAGTCTATATAGAAAAAACGATTTTTAAAGCTTCTTATAAGAAACTAAAGTACCATTCTTACTGCTTTCTGACTGCCGTATGTAAATGAAAATAAATAAATAAGACAGATTTCATCACTTGAATCTTTTCTCTCGAGATTTTTTTCTAATTCTGTTTGTCAAAAGAAAAACAATATATATTCGCCATATTTAGAAGTGTAAAACTAACCATTGGCAGTATTCCAACTAAAAAGCACAATATTATATGAAATATTTATTCTGTAAAAATCAATCTAAAACTCAAGATGAAGACCTACTATCTATTTGAGTATTATGTTTTGTCAAGAGTAATAATTGCTCTCGAAAACCTTGGACAAAACAGAAATAGATCTTAGATAAAATATTTCTGTTACATCTCTACTGATCCAAGTAGATAATTTATTTCGTATGAAAAATAAAATTCTTTGAGCATGCACTTGTTCGCATTAAATATACTTTGCAGATAGACAAAACACTTGAATAAATTGACGAGCTAAGACAAGAAAAATCCAAATATATAGCATAATTATTAACTAGTTTCTAATGGTAAACTGAATAATTGCCAAAAACAATATTTCTATTCAAAAACGTATTTTAAGGTGTTGTATATTGTTTATATGTGCTTCAATACTCATATTCGCACTATAAAAGGAAAGAACGAGTTGATGTTGACACTTTGATCTATGTTTAGCACAACAAAACCTGTCACCATTTTCGCATTGGGCACAGAACGCTACAACAGTTGCAGGGTCAGCAAATGGAGCACCTGGATCTTCTTTATCTACTCTCAATGGGAATATAGGAATAAGGATAACAAATGATGATACTCTCTATATTGCTGATTCTGATAATAGTCGTATTGTTGTCACCCGACCAAATTCAACTACAGCTGTAGCTATTATTCAGAATGGATCGGATTCTAATCCTCTATTTGGTATGCCTGGTGATATTTTTATCACTGAAAAATATATCTATGTTGCAGACTTGGGGAATTCCGATGTGGTAAGATTTTTCAAAAATAGAACAAGTCCAGAGATCATTGCAGGAATTAAAGGTCAATATGGAAATTCAGATAATACGTCAACTATCGGTTTTTGCTATAGCATTTTTGTCGACAAAAATGAGAACTTGTATGTTAGTGACTTTACTAACAACAGAGTGGTTCGTTACTCACCAAATTCATCAAGTGGTACGCCTGGTATGATAATAGCTGGAAATGGTACTTCTGGAAACGACAGCTCACAGTTAAATAGCCCATGGGGAATATTTGTCAATGAAGTTGAAACATTGTATGTTGTGGATTCTTTCAACCATAGAGTTCAAATATGGAATAATGGAGCTTCTTTCGGTGTGACAGGGGCTGGTACTGGAGTTAATGGTAATAGTTTATCCGAATTATCGTATCCATCAGCAATTGTTGTTGATCTGAATGGATATATGTATATAGTTGATAAAGGAAATAGTCGAATTGTTCGATGGGCACCGAATTCGAATACTGGTGAATGTATTGCGGCTTGTACGGGTATTACTGATATTGGAATAGATATTCTACATTGGCCGAATGCATTGGCATTTGATAGCTATGGATCTCTTTTTATTAGCGATGGAAACAACAATCGGGTCCAAAAGTTCGAGATACTTGACGGTTTTAGTGAGTAAAAAATCTTTTAATAACCATAGTTTATTGCTATCACGAAAGACAATCTAAGTTGAGTGTCTATCTACATAGAGTAGCAATTCCTAATACACAATTAGCGGTCATTTATCACTATATCTCATGAGAGTATCTGAACCATTTCATTTATGTAGTTCTAGAAAATTAAATAAGGTATAAATTCCAAGAAAAAAGAATACAATTATGTTCTCGAAATTAATAACAAGAATAATATTATGTTTCACATATTAATCCTGCAAAGATTGCTCTAATCAATTTTTCTATGCGAATTATTATAGCTTCAACTTTAATGACCATTTTCACGTCGACAACAACAACGACATACCATATAACCTCATATCAAGATTCATTAAAGTCAAGTAGAACATATTCAATGACAGTTGCTATGTCGATAGTCGTATTGGTAATTCTTTCTTAAATATTTTCTAAAGTTTCAATTACTTATTTTCCACTTTTCTAGCTTTTGATCTTTCGCCATTGAAGCTTGACCGATTTTGTCCATTGCTTCGCCAGTATACAATGAAGAACAAATATCGAAAATGGTTTGTTTCGTCGATTTTAACAATCCTTCTCTCATTTTGCTGCTCTCATGCTTAACTCGCTTGTCGCTTTTGTATATCACTGCATTATGAAGAGAATATTGTGAGGGTCATATTTTTGTCTATTTATTATAGCTTTAGTAAAACATGCTTTTGTAAATAACGCTTCCTGTGTCAAGTCAGTGTCAGTGAACTGCTATATAATATTGAAAATAAAGTTTCAAAGCATATAAAGTAGTTCTATCAGTTTGAATTTGGATAGCTATGTGCGTGAGAAAGAGAAGTTAAAAACTCACATAGTTTAAAACTTCAATGTTAGTCCTTATTAAATGTCCATTATATTTGAAAGAGATATATTAGAACTTTTCCAAAACCGTAGTCTCACTGTTTCTATCATATTGAAATATTAAATTTGATGATATTCATGTTAGAATTTGGCCATTGAAGTATGATAACTGATGGAATTTAATGAAATTTCTTCACTTGAAAATCATATATATATGAGTTTCCACTTCAAGTTTTTGTATGAGAACACAATCAATTATAATTTTACTTGAAGTTCAACAAAAGGTTATTGTACATATTTATATTCGTTTTGAAAGTATCACTTTGTTACCTTCTTTTGTTCAAAGAGTTTCTAACAAGATTACTACTGATCGCAACAACTTATCTACGTGAAGTCCTCTTTTTTGTTTTGGCACAATCAGAAATTTTTGGATTATCGGTAAAATTATTTCTTATCATTGAGAATGACTTGTACTCGGCGTATAGATCTATTAAAGATTGTAGATGGATATTTTTCTTGCAGAAAAGTTGTTCACCATAATCTATATGTGTTTCAACTCGACTGAAAAAAAAATAAGACGAAGAAATATAATCAATACAGATAAATATGGCTTATTTTTGTTTTTGTATGGTTGATAAGTAAGAATAAGTGATTCTTTGAGAAGAAAAAAACATTTAGAGATAAATATGAAGAAACTATGTTGTAAAGAACGTTCAACAGTCATTGTTAAGCATCGAACTATATTAAACATATCACTTTGAAGGGTGTGGGTGTGGGTGGGTGTGGGTGTGGGTGTGGGTGTGGGTGGGGTGGGTGGGTGTGGGTGAGGTGGGTGGGTGTGGGTGAGGTGGGTGGGTGTGGGTGTGTGGGCGTGGGTGTGTGGGTCTGGGTGTGGGTGTGGGCGTGGGTGTGGGTGTGGGTGTGACCGGGTGTGGGTGTGGGTGTGGGTGTGGCCGGGTGTGGGTGTGGGTGGATCGAAGAACAAGACCCACACCCACACTCCACACTCACACCCTAGTCACACCACACTCACACCCCACACTCACACATACCCATACCCACCCATACCCTCAAGATAGTGTAACTTCGATACGACATATATATATACCATGTACTTAAAAATACAAAGCTGACGAGAGAAGCAATTGTATTACAAGCAGTATCTGAAGAGTAGGATTCCTCGTCCTGAGAAGTTATCATAAAATGTAATCTAAAAATTTTTATATTATAACATCTTCCGATATCGATATTCGCAATTATTTGTTCAAATGGCTGACTAAAAAATCATCTATCAGTATAGCTTGGTCATGTTTTATCACCTGATAATCGATTAGCTTGCTATAAGCTAGAAGCACATTTCTGACATAACAGAATATTGCTTGTTCATTAAGGTATTTTAAAACAATATTACGACCATTTATACCGATACGCGAAGCTATTTCTGTATTTTCCAACAAATAGTTTGTCAGATTTAATAGCAGTCTCTCGTCGGCTTTATCAAGAATAATAATATTCTCTTGATGTTTCAATAAATGATACCAGAATTCTTCCCATCCATTGATCGCAGCAAATATTACTGGACTACCACATAATAATAAGTATTTTAGTCTTCCAGAAAAAGTATTTCCTTCTATATGCAATAGAGATTTATAGTCACAATGTTGCTCGAGTGTTCGATATTGGTTAGACGCCGAAAGTGTTAGATGTTCAACTCCTATCCAGTGTATGAAGGAAACATCCATAATTTGTGGATACTTTTGTGCTATGGATACCAAATTCTCTCGCCTTCCTGTTCGAGCTCCACGCCAAAACAATTTACTTGTTCTATTAGTAAAGATTCTATGATCCCCTGCTTGTTTAATGCTAATAATCTTTTTATCCCACCTAGTGATTCCTGGTTGGGGCCAATTCCAAAATGAAAAGCACGGGATTGATACAACACCATCTGTATAGTTATCATTTATCTTATCGTTCCTATTTTTTGCAAAGCCGAAAACAGGACATTTTGGAAGATGATTGGAATTTCTATCCATTCCTACCGAGTCTCCTACATGTATGAGGAACTCTATATTTGGTATGTTATTGAAAGTATCAATAACATGTTTGAAAAGAGTTTTAACGCTTCGACTACGCGTTTCGTAATTTGTTGATGTTGAACGTGGAACAACGTATAGCTCGCCATTTATAACTTGCAAATGATGGCAGTCGGGACAAACTTTCAAAAGTGTCTTAAAATCCGTTAATTGGAAAGTTTTGAAGGAACGAAACTCGGTCGTAATCCTGGCATATAAGGGATTGAAACTGTCACAAATATCGTAATCGACCGAATTTTCGACGCTTTCCACTAGTGCTTTCAGAAATGGATTGGTACAGTCCACTTCATAGAATCGTTTTAAATGACTTATGTTTCCAATGTGTCGACATTGAAAAAGACGCTGTCTTTCGTTGATCGATTCACGGTGTTTCTTAGCGTTCCATGTGCTAAATGAAGCTAGAGAACAGCGGTATGCTATAATAGTTAAGACGGTTCCACCGATAATGATAACAATTAGATAAGAAAAAGAGTTAAAGGCCATGAGACAGTAAGTCTTCTTGGTGCTAATCAATATTTAGGAAACGTTGCATGTTTGGTGAGCATTTCCCGTGTTCCAAGGACGAGCGAAGCATATAACAAGCACGTTTACACCAATACTTCTGAAAATAATCTGTTCTACATTTCAAACTTTAAGGATCAAATAATCAGAAGCTATGTTAATAAAAATATACCATTTAGAAATTGCGATAGAAACGAGAAATTATGCAATCTCTTCCATGGTATTGCCGTTGCATAAGCCAGAAATACAGTCAATGCCCCTAATAACGACACTAAAGAAATAACATGACTTGTTTGATTTAGTGCATAGCCATTTTATACTCAAATCAAAACATTTTTACACAGGCATGATCTTGGAAGTGACCTCTTTCGAATGATATAAGAACCATTTTTCTCTGACATATAGTCGTGGAGAAATAAGCGAGTGTCGGTATTTAAAGAGAAAAGACTCGTATCTACACACACTCACATCCACAGCCGTATGGGACCTTAGTGTAAAATAGAACTAAATTCGCATTCGAGAGAATTCAGAGAACTTTCTTTAAAATTAACTATCATGCTTATTGATGGTGAAGAAAAACTTACTTGGATATGCAGGTGAAGAAGTCGTGTGAATACTCGTGATAACGTTTCAATTGTTGCGTGATTTGTGACTGATCAGTTCAAATGAGTACGTGCAAATTCACTTGATAGAAGAGAGAAATCTAAAATAGAAGAGAGATGCTTAAAACTGTATACAAAGTGGTTTGTTAACACAATTTGCACAAAAAATGATAGAAAACTGACGCAGTCTGTGTAGAAGCTTGTCCTTAAAATAATCAAAAGGCACTACTGACGACAAAATATGTTGACATCTGATAGCCGACGTAGAAGAAAAGCGGTTGTCAGTACTCAGAACACATTTATGATACATACCATTAAGTTCGATCCAGTGGAGAGGAAATACAACTTCTACGGCAGATATAATGAGAGTTCTAACGGATAGTTTGTGATAAAGAACTCGTGTCGATCTGAAGCTATGTGAAGGAGGATTGAGTGATTTGAGTCAGAAAAACGAAGAAAAATATTGAAGTCTGTAGGCACGAATCTGCTAAATGGACTTAGTGACCAAATAAATCTTTTTTTTTGGATGAGAGAATGATGTAGATTCGAGTCCCACCTGCAGCAGAATTCCTCTCGTGAAATGCTCGTTAAATATCTGCTCGATCTAAATTGAGTAAAAATTAGCCAAAACAAATCATTCACTTTCTCTCATGAAATCTAGAAAAATTCATCTTCAAATTAATAGAGCGAAACAAAACCAACTTATTCAGTTTATTTTCATCTGATACTCGATGATTCTCAGCATAACTAAATGAGAAAAAATCGAATGAAATTTCATTGTTTGAATCGAACTTTCTTATAAAACACAACAGAATTAACAGAATAACTGAACAAACCAAAAAGGAAAAATTAATTCTCTAATTAAACTTTACATAATACGATATGAAAAAGTTTTCAGAATAATACACCAGAAGAATACAACCGATATGACCTTCCCGTCGGTCTAGTAAGATAAGCACGAAT